GATAGCTCTCGTGTAGCTTTTGCGCGAAAATTCAAAAACAAACAAACTAGAGATGTTCATTAAGTATGTGATTTACTTTATGATTTATTTTCATTATCTGCTGTCCAGCATTATAGGCAGTAACCAACTTCACCGTGTTCTTGAAACTCTGCGCACGCTTACCTTCTCGTGGTCGATTCGGTTCGTATTTAAGTGCGTGTTATTCACACAGAATAAACTGTTCTCGCGGTCTCGCGAACAATCTAGGATAAGGAAAAAGACGGGCTGTTGACTAGTAAACCGTACCTTGGCCAGATGCTTTATTCTCATTCCATTTTTTCACGCGTGCAGATAGTTTCAGCTAGTTAAGTAATCGGAAGCTGCGTGAAAATCATATTAACCTTTGACCTTATAAATTGACTAGTTGTGTCTAATTCATTATTTTACAAACTTTCGAGTCTGTTGTCGGCTCTTCTACTGGTGAGTCTCAATTTTTTATCACAAGCTTTAATAAAAATATTTTATTTCATTTCCATTGTTTACGATTACTTAATAAAGCTTATTTAAAAGATCTGAACATGTTTAACTAGGCCCGGCATGGCCAGGTGGATAAGGCGCTCGACTCACAATCTGAGGGTCGCGGGTTCGAATCCGCGTACCACCACACATTCTCGCCCTTTCAGCCGTGGGGGCGTTATAATGTGACGGTCAATTCCACTATTCGTTGGTAAAAGAGTAGTTGGCGGTGGGTGGTGATGACTAGCGGCCTTCCCTATAGTCTTACACTGCTAAATTAGGGACGGCTAGCGCTGATAGCCCTCGTGTAGCTTTGCGCGAAATTCAAAAACAAACAAACAAACATGTTTAACTCACTCCTTTATTCTCAACAAATATTCTAAAATATTACAAAACAGATCGAATTATTTCGTATATTTCTGATATTGACACCGTCTTCATTACTGGCCACAATGTTTTGAATTTACCCATTCTGTTCTTTTGTCTGAAGTTAAGCACAAAGCAACGCAATGGGCTATCTGCCTCTGCCCACCACTGGTATCGAAACCCGGATTCTAGAGTTATAAGTCCGCAGACATAACGCCGTGCCACTGGGGGGCATTCTGTTCTTAAAACTAAAATATCAACTATAAAATATCTAACCATACCTATAAAGAGTATGTTAAATGATGATGTGGTTCATTTTGGTATTTGATTTTACATTTTCTTATTAAAGTAATCAATAATACATCTAATTCGTTACGTCTGTAAAAGCAACAGAAGTAATTCTTTGCATATCGTTTTATTAAATGACTGATATAATTATTATTTATATTTTATAAAAATTACTAAAATATATATTCAAGTGCTCTGTTACTAGTTAGAGAACCAACTGTCGTTAATTGTTCAATAAAACAACCTGATTTCTCAAGCATTTTAGGAGGGTATACATTCCTTCGTTCTTTGCCCCCTAGTGGCACAGTCTGCGGACTTATACTGCTAGAAACCGGGTTTCGATACCCGTGGTGGGCAGAGCATAGATAGCTTTGTGCTTAATAACAAATAACACCAACAACCGCCGTTCTCTAAGCATACGTACGGATAGTTTCAAAATACGTTGCTAGGGGTTGGGTAGGGTAGTTCGAAATTGCGTCACTAGGGGTTGGGTGGTGAGATCACCTATGGAACACGAGTTGCTATTTTATTATGTGGTTCGCTCACAAACCACCAGAGGGTGTTGTTTAATATCACGATGTTCTTATATTACTGGATGGCACGTTATGATAAAATGAAATTAATTTAATGGTAGCTTTAACCATCATATTATGTGTCAAATATCCACAATGGTGCTAAAGGTCTTCAGTTATATTTACTATTTGTCTATTTGTATTTTTCCCCGATTTATTTTTAATAAAACGTTTTAAAACCTATTGCGTTTTCCAAGTCTGCAGCACAGATAAAACTTTAACTTCTAAAAACAAATTATTTAGCTTGAACATTTTTCTGTTTAGTTTTGTTTGTTTGTTTGGAATTTCGCGCAAAGCTACACGAGGGCTATCTGTGCTAGCCGTCCCTAATTTAGCAGTGTAAGACTAGAGGGAAGGCAGCTAGTCATCACTACCCACCGTCAACTTCACCAACGAATAGTGGGATTGACCGTCACATTATAACGCCCCCACGGCTGAAAGGGCGAGCATGTTTGGTATGTCGGAGTTTCGAACTCGCGACTGCGAGTCGAGTATCCCAACCACCTGGCCATGCCGGGCCCCTTTTCTGTTTAAATTTAAAAGGCAACTGAAACAAGAGTCGAACGAGTTATTTGAACAAATCGTAGACTCTAAAGACGATTACTTTTCATTCTATTGTTGTTAATCATAGGATACTGAACTTTTGTTTCATGTATTTTTAACTAGGAATAAATTAGAAAGAAAATATTTCTCAAAGAAAGTAAATCTAAAAACGCATGAAATCTTTCCAAATTACTTCAATGTAAAACGATTGAAATATTTTTTGTGGTGTGTTATACAAAACTTATACTTTTATATGCTATCTTTTTTTTAATCTTCTCTTCATTTTTTTAGCGGTAATTGAAACGTTACGTGACTACATTAAGAGTTTTTTGTTTTTTTTAACGTACTCAAATTTTAAAATATTATTACTTTCTGGGGCAACTCTTCACAGTACGTCATACGATTAAACATAATTTTATGTTTCCAATTTTTCAAAATATTTATTATGTGAAGTTATTTATCAAAGTATTATAATTATTGGGTTGAATATATATCTATAATCATTTCAGAAATGATAGTTATTTAAATGAAATGCTTAAATGTATCATTGGCTTGATAGCTGTTAACATAATTGGTCAGACATGTAAGTAACATAAGTACATAAATACTGGAGAAACTGCATCATTCAGCTAAATACATAGTCCTTGTGTCGTTGAGCTACTTCAATACACACTGAAGGAACTGTAAACCCATAGTCCTTGTGTCACTGAGCTGTCAGTACACACTGATAGACCTGTAATACCCAGCTAAATACATAGCCCTGGTGTCACTGAGCTGTCAGTACACACTGATAGATCCTGTAATACCCAGCTAAATACATATTCTCGTGTCACTGAGCTGTCAGTACACACTGATAGACCTGTAATACCCAGCTAAATACATATTCCTCGTGTCACTGAGCTGTCAGTACACACTGATAGACCTGTAATACCCAGCTAAATACATAGCCCTTGTGTCACTTAGCTGTCAATACACAACTATAAGTCCTTTGATTCCTGAGATATTTACTTTCTTTCACTGAAGGTTGTTGTTGCTTGTTGAATTCCGTGTATAACTACTCGAGGACTATTTGCGCTCCCCGTCGTTGATTTTTCACTCAAGTAAAATGCA